TAAGGTTTATTAAAACATCCAAGAAAAAACCAGTAAAATCTTATTTCAATTTTATTAAATCTTTCATCATTTCTTAGGTACGGTTTTCTGGCAGTAAATTTCCATTTGACTATCCTATTTATATCCAGCTATCGTGGCAGGACCCACATCATCACTTGATACTTTTTTCTCTTTGTTTCAAGATGTTTCAAATATAATTGATGTCTTTGGCTAGGTCCTAACGGTTACGCAGAACTTGGCTAACCAAGCAAGCAGACAATACCATATATATGCAATAAGATACAATCTATGAAGTCATTCTGTTCTTTGAAGTATGATTTCAGCTCATTCATGGATTCTGCAAAAACATTTTTGTATGTATTATTTCTCAGATTACGCGAGCAAATCATTCTGACGAATGTTGTCAAACACTAATGTGCGGTCACGACATCAGTTGCGAAACTGTTTTCTATTTGATCCCGGTCTCACAAACGTTTATGACTACGGAAGATAGCATTTAAGTACACTGATTTGAGTCTCATAAAAATTGGTATACATCAGATGTGTTCTTGTTTTTTATCATGTCGTGTGATGAAAACATTCGTTACCTCATCTAAAAATTTCTAAATCAACGACCTTTTCATCGCTCTCATTTTTTCATCCAATTTCCATCTGATTGATGAAAAGAGTTCGGATTTATATTGTAACAGATGGCGGACGATGAATGTTAGGTAAAGCGCCTATTGCACACAGAATTAACATCTTGGCGAGAAAATTAATATTAAAAAGTTCATAAATTCCAAGTTATCTAGGTCGACATGCAGAATTGCGAACTTCGAATTGAAAATAATGAGTGATCAATAAGCTTGAAGAAATTTATATATACAGTATATAGATACTGAATTATTGTATATGCCCATCATCGAAGTGTTATGTCAACCTTGGACTTTGGTCTACTAAAGAAAACTTAGAAAGACTTAAAGATTACTTGCTTTTCTATCAATCGTTGACGTCTATAGTATAACCAAACCGTTATAACAATCTGTATCCCTACATTTCAGGAACACAAAATTCGGATCGAGGTTAAAGACTGATTCCTGTCCAAAAATCTCAACTAATTTTAACCAGTTCAAGTGACATGTTATGGGCGAGGCGATTCGCATATGATGTCATCCATTTCTTTTGGCAGCTCTTTATTGAAGATAAATAGACTTGACAATATTTCCCAATAAATTGTTTAACACACGGCTATGTTTATAGAGCAATGATAGCCGAAACAATATATCAATACAGTAAAACGATCTCTTTTTCCGGCCATGAGTTAGTTCATCGTATTGAACTTTGCTCGAGGAAAAACATGAAATACACGTTTTACACTATTTTTGGCAAGATTATGATATGATATTTTTCATAAGTCAAACCACTTTCAAATACAGCTGTTAATGTCTTATAGCTTTTTTAAAGATATAACATGGTCCAGTCCAAGCCTTAAAGACCGCACCAGGAAATATTTTCATATAACTGACAAATCTGAGGTGTATGAGTGATGTAGTTAGGATCGGTTTCATTTTAGAGAATTTTCTTACTTTATATGTACAGATGTATCTACCTCTACTCAACAATTTGTACGATCGCAAAACTCGGGAGAAAAATAATCAGCTGTTTGTGATGTAATCAGATTCAATTCAACCTGAGGGTGAGACTTTTTACAGTGTAATCATCTTACTAAAAGTCTGACATTCTGAAAACAACGATTTTTATCAAGTGCAGACATTTCAAGGGAACCGGAAGTGCTAACATGTAATTTGTCGGTCGACAAAATTCCATTAGAAAGTTCAGTCCAGCATTTATTCTGATTGCCACCAAAATCATTTAAAAGTAATCAAGATTATTGAGCAAGCCTTCCAGCCCTGAATTACTTCAGAACATTTTTTTACGACCCACTTTCAAAATTAAGATTTTCTGCTCCTAGTGAATTGAAACAGACATTATTATGTACGTTTACCTAAAAGTGCCTCCATACTTCTTAGTTTTTAAAAGAAACACTTTATTGATGGTTCGACGCTTTCTCCTAGTCCTGACGTGGATGGTGCTATGTTGTACCAACCACTAAATGTATGGTGTTATGCTCTACCAGTTACTTAATGTATAGTGTTTGACACACATACTACTTCTTTAATTAATCATTAAATGCATAGTAGCACGTTTTAACTAACACTGCATGGATGGCGCTAGGTCACACACATGACATGAGTGGTGCTACGTTTTAATACAAATATTATATACAAACCGTCGTGTCTACGATTTGTTCTTTGTCGAGATACATGTTGATATACTGTGTAAAAGTGATGGTAATTTGACTACAAGGTTGGCTTATAACTTCTCAAAAAGTGCTTATGTTTTTACGCTGATCAATGGCATACAAAACCGTGTACAGTTGTGTCCTTTGTTGGTGATGTCAGGGATGCCGCCATAGTTTTGCACGATGTCAAACTTTGACCCTGACCGCGAGGTCAACTATTGGTAGTCCATGAGCCCTTTACAGAGGTTTATTGTGATCGTTCAGGAACGACAACTCTGGTAGGTATTGATTGTTTATAAGATGATCCTTAAACCACACAATCAAAAGATGGTGCTCTTTGTTACTACTTCTCGCTTTGATGGTCCTATGTTTTATCACCCAGAAAACTGGTCATGAAATTTGTCGCAAATGAACTAGATGGTGTGACTTATCTCCACATACTGACCGGATGGTGTGACTTATCTCCACATACTGACCGGATGGTGTTACGTATCTCCACATACTGACCGGATGGTGTTACGTATCTACACATACTGACCGGATGGTGTTACGTATCTCCACATACTGACCGGATGGTGTTACGTATCTACACATACTGACCGGATGGTGTTACGTATCTCCACATACTGACCGGATGGTGTTACGTATCTCCACATACTGACCGGATGGTGTTACGTATCCTCACATACTGACCGGATGGTGTTACGTATCTACACATACTGACCGGATGGTGTTACGTATCTCCACATACTGACCGGATGGTGTTACGTATCTACACATACTGACCGGATGGTGTTACGTATCTCCGCATACTGACCGGATGGTGTTACGTATCTCCGCATACTGACCGGATGGTGTTACGTATCCTCGCATACTGACCGGATGGTGTTACGTATCCCCGCATACTGACCGGATGGTGTTACGTATCTCCGCATACTGACCGGATGGTGTTACGTATCTCCGCATACTGACCGGATGGTGTTACGTATCTCCGCATACTGACCGGATGGTGTTACGTATCTCCGCATACTGACCGGATGGTGTTACGTATCTCCACATACTGACCGGATGGTGTTACGTATCTCCACATACTGACCGGATGGTGTTACGTATCTCCACATACTGACCGGATGGTGTTACGTATCTCCACATACTGACCGGATGGTGTTACGTATCTCCACATACTGACCGGATGGTGTTACGTATCTACACATACTGACCGAATGGTGTTACGTATCCTCACATACTGACCGGATGGTGTTACGTATCTCCGCATACTGACCGGATGGTGTTACGTATCTCCGCATACTGACCGGATGGTGTTACGTATCTCCGCATACTGACCGGATGGTGTTACGTATCCTCGCATACTGACCGGATGGTGTTACGTATCTCCGCATACTGACCGGATGGTGTTACGTATCTCCGCATACTGACCGGATGGTGTTACGTATCTCCACATACTGACCGGATGGTGTTACGTATCTCCACATACTGACCGGATGGTGTTACGTATCTCCGCATACTGACCAGATGGTGTAAAGTATTCCTACACATTGAGAGGGTTGTGTTACAGTTTCCCACATAATTACCGGATGGAGTTACGATTTTTTTTAATCCGTTTTGAGACAAGATTATTAGAAACAGTGAAAACGAATTTCTGAACTTTCCATGGAAATTTTCTTTTCTATACCTACGAAGATCATTAACAGTATTATATGCAAATTGGCTGCCATTCGTTCAACGGATGACACAAATAAAAGAAAAATGCTTGATTCGTCGTCTACATTATTTTATTGATTTATTTTAAATTTATTTTATTTTTTTGTCAAATTCTACACTATTTCATGTGTATATATATCAAGTGTGTTTTTTCATCCTTGGCTTGGTCGTCTTTGTCGCCTTGGTGTTAATTAACGTATATAAATAATTCACCGTTCTATGGATTTAAGTAGATTTGCATACAGAAAAACTACACAGGTGTGGCTTTATGCTTTATTTGACAAATAGTTTTAAACTACAGAACATATATAACTATACATAAACAGATACATCGTCCTACATCCCAAACACGTATACCTACACATTATAACGACACATATATATTATGATAGCCATTCTATAAGTTGTTCTTACACGTAATGAGCCAATCAGTGTTCCTCTCCTTCGTACATTTATTGGCATCACAAATCCACGGCACACAAGGGAGATAATTAGCCATGCTAAAAGCTCCAAGAGTTCAATTAGAGTAGTGGAAAAATTATTGAATTATTTAGCAAAGAAGCAATGGTTTTTACATTTCAAAGCTTGTAGGTTATGTATAATGATACAACATAAACACGGCCGTAATGAATCGATAGATCGTTTCTTCAACAGACCGTCTAATTAGGCCTTTTAACCAGTCTGTGTGGACCAAACCCTAAATTGGTTACGGTCATCATTATTTTCTCTGACGTCACTAGTGATTTTGGTCTATAACAAAATGGTTTTCTCTGTGCTCGATTTATACCGTCGATCGCGATCGATCATGGCTCTCTATACGACAGAGAGTTTCAGTCACTTGTGGATTGCCAATGCTGGTATTGATCAAATTGTCCCCCTTGACGCGACAATGCAATCACGACCAACAGAGAACAGTAGCTCTCACAGTAAAAGGGACACGCGGAGGATGTAGCATCGGGGTTGACAACATCGCCAGGTGCGCTTCTTACAAGGCATCATGAGTACGAAATCAAACGGGAGTGCCAATGGGGGCCGACCCCGCTCCCTCTACGAAGAGTCGGAAGAGGAACGACACGAACTTAAACTAGACAGTATAATATCGAAACCAAAAACGCCAACTTTTGTGTACGTGTTGACATTTTTCTCGGCCCTAGGAGGATTCCTGTTCGGGTATGACACTGGTGTCATATCAGGGGCTATGATTTTGCTGAGGAATGAATTCAATTTGTCGTCTGTTTGGCAGGAACTTATTGTCAGCGTCACCGTCGCTGCTGCCGCCGTTTTCGCCCTAATAGGTGGTTGTTTAAATGACCGGCTTGGGCGTAGGCCTGTGATAATGATGGCCAGTATAGTGTTTACCATTGGGGCAGTTTGCATGGCAGTTGCTGGGGATAAGTATCTCTTACTTACCGGAAGGGTGATCGTGGGAGCTGGCATAGGTATGTACTATCATATATATAAAAGATGTAAACTAAACACTTTTCATTGTTATAGAATTTATTGAGATCAGTATATGCACGTGGTGTGTCGATATCTCAAAACTGTATTATTTCGATTTTATGCCGAAATGGTCTGTGGCTATATATGAGAAGTTGGATTGTAAACAATGGCTTGATAGAATAGTTTAAAAGCACTTCTATGTTTGTTTTTTATGATTGTTTAACATTAGTAAAAACATCAAAAGGACACGGATTTCGATTGTGTTCCAAGCTTCAGGAATGCTATGTATTTTTTTATTTATCTTTTTTTCTGTTATATACTTTTATGTATATATATCCGCGACCACGGTTACATAAGATGAAGATGATGGATGCCGGCTACCCAACAATGCCTCAATATTCTCGGCAGAAGCGCGAGCAATCTACCTCGCCATTGAATATATTCTAACAAACAAAGTAATGAAAGCTGTTTTCATATCAGACTCTCTTTCTGTATCACAAGGTCTTAACAATAGAAATATCGACAATATTTCCATTCGTAATACATTAACGCTATACCATGGACTTACCTAAAACCTTCATATTGTTTTGTTGGGTTCCTAGGCACATGGGAATGCCAGGCATTGAAAAATCATATCGTGCTGCAAAGACAGCTTTATCGTTTCCACCTTTTGTTTTCAAACTTCATTTTACTGATTTTAAAACATGTATTGAACAGCTGAGTGACAAGACGAATGAAATCGATATACCGATAATGAATTATATTCAGTAAAACTTATCATCGGTGAATGGTCTCCATGCTATAGAGACAACCATCGAGACGAAGTTGTCCTTGTTCGTCTTCGGATGGGCCATACTTATCATACAAAATCATATATGCTGAAAGGCCCAGATTATCTTAGGTGTGTAGCATGTGATAAGTCATTCACAGTTGAACTTTTTTTGGATTGCCATGACCTTCTGCCTCCTTGAGAATTTTTGATCTAAAGACCCTTTTTGAAACTGTTCAGATTTATAAAATTCTAGGTTATCTGAAAGTTGTTGGCCTATATTATGAGACGTGACTTACCATTTTAATCTTTTGTGATAGTATAACCATTTAACATTTTTAGAACTTGTCTTTTACCTGTTAGTTTGTTTGATGCTATTTCCTTTTCGGATCGCTGTGTTTTTCACCGGTTGATGGCCCTAATAACCATTTATGTGTTGACGGCCCGTTAAAAACGTAAAAATATCAATTTATATTACTTAATTTGTGATGAAATTTGGTTTCCGGACGATTCTGATGTATAATCTATGTCGTGACGTCTTGAATCTCACGTCATTTTCTTTTTTAATACATTCACTTAAACAAATCGAATATGTATACTTAATTTGCAAGCAGAGACAATCGATTTCAAGAATAAATGCATTTAAAAAACCATTTCACTTACACTGAGACATGGACCCTACTTTTAACCTGGTCGAAGAATTTCATAAAATGATAAACGCAAATGAGTTACAAGAGATGAAGATTTAATTTCCGTCTGAATCGTATGACGGTATAAGGTAAATGGGGTCATATTTTCACCTTACACCGGCGTGATCTGCAGCTTTTAGAATGTGCGTGTTCACCATTTCACCTCATGCTGAGATGTCAGGCAATATATATCATATGCTCAATCAATTCTTTGGGATGCAGTTAAGGTACAATTTTCGTAGTAACTTTATGTGTAAAGACACGTCATTTGATGTTAGAACATGAATTCTTTGGAAATACATAGCCACGGGAGCATAAAATCACACTTTCAAGACGTATCGAAGTTTGAGCGAAGTCGTACAGGTGAAATGCTGCCGTGAATTTTTAACACTGGAATAGCAAAATGGCATCAAGATGACAAAAAGCATGATTTTTATCATTGATAAGAAGATTGTATTAACTATATCCATACGCTTCTCTCTCATACTGTTCTGTAGTGTTCGCTTACAGCATTTACACGTATAGCATAAATAATAGCGAGATGCGAGAACTGCGTCGTCTTCAAGTACACGTGCACCGTATGATTATAGTAATATACTTGGCGTGTTTTGTGTCATCGAGGCGCCCCGTCAGTCAATATCAGAAAAATCTGTGCGATTTATTTAATTATAGACTATTCTTGGCTACAAATATACTTATTTTTCATCAGTTAACTGAATAAAGGTTTCGAAACTTTCTCAAATTATTTATTCATAAATACAAAATAAACGTAATCAAAGACAGAATTTTATTATTAATGAAAGGGAAATTGACTTAAACCAACCAGTAGTGAGTTTTGAGATTTTGTTGTGATTGTAGAACAAGCAGCGAGCTGGAACACTGAACAACTAGAACACACCGACATCTCTATAAAAAGCGCGCGCCCGTATCGACACGTGCAGAAATATGACCTTGATGTTAGAATTTGGGAGAGTGTAGGGGTTAGTTTTCAGTTATGAATTAATGACAAACACTGGATCTCTTTTAACTGTAACATTGCTTCCAATATGGAGTTCAGCAGGTACTTTCGCGACATGACAGGCGGTCTAATCCGGATTTGTTACACAGTGACTCACGTATAATTTGATAGTTTACAAAGTAAATATTTGCAGTATTACAATCAAATCTACGATTAAAAATCCCATTTCTAGCGAATACCGTTCATTACTATTTAGACGAGTTTAACCGTCAATGCAAGCCGCAAATGGAACCTTCTGAATACAAATTTAATCTTGATGAAAATAACTTGAAGCTCGATTATGTAACTTTATATGTACATCAAGGAATCATTAAAACTTTAGGAAAGCAAAAAACTATTTCATAATATCAAAACAAAAATACCATAATGACAGATGAATATACCATATTATTTGTCAACAGAAACATAGTTAAAACTACCTTAAAGTAATCCATTTCATAAACATTACCTGTACATAAAATGTATCCAGATTCATTTATGCATTTTATAGTCATTGAACTTCTACATAAATGCCAGGATCACTTTATTGTTATTGTCAACACAGATATCTATCATTTCAAATAGATTAAAAGACATTCTTCTTTAGTAAAATATTACATTGAAACGATGATGTCAGTTCGCAGAAATAAATGTACGCGAAATTTATATGGATGGACAGAATACTTGGCAAGTGAATGATTGGTAAAGATGATTAAAGAAGGCGATAAAGATTTTTTTATTTGTTTATTTCCTTTATTTTTCATTAAAGTTTCCTTTCCACTGGAGTAATTTGTTTGATGTAGAAACCCGATAATGTTAATTGGGTTTTTTCTAATAGATAATCATTACGTGGTATGTCCCGGATAGATTTATATCTTTTTTTACTGATCAAACTTATAATGTCTAAAAACATCTCACAAATTACTTCTATATATCAAACAGAAGATGATTAAGTAAAAACATCCTGATGGGACAAAAGGAAAATACAAAGGTCCCAGTATAAACGTATTGATTTTTACCATGACTTACCGTGAATCATTCATGAAAGTGCTTGGTTGCTTTCTGTCCTGGTCGACTATGTACTCGTGTAGTATGAATGTATATTGTACATCAGTGAGCCACAAAGTGCTCGGTAATCGTGTACTGCACAGATTGAAAAACGCTATTTATCGCTTATAATTACAGTGTAAGCATATCTTATGTAATAGTCTGGGTTCCCCCTCCCTCTCTCGGGTAACATGCACATGCTGAATGCTTCTACAGAGAATCTCGGAATACATTGATACACTAAACTCTATTGACAAAATAGACATCAGAAATCAGTAGAATTATGCATAAACTTGATATCACACCATCAACTCAACTCCATTGAACAACAAGCGGGAGGCCGCTGCTGCTGTCCAACCACAACCACAAAGGACGGTCTGTAACAAGTAAGGACAATCGCGCCACATTTACCGGGCTTTTCTACTGAGGTGTCGCTTTGCCACGAGTGATGAATATTGCCGTGATTTGTTACAGGATGGTTGTAGAATAGTAAAGGTTTATTAACAATCACCATGATTTAAAATACATTCACAGAAAACAATCGAGGCTTGCTGATATATCCTTCTATTATTCTGGAGTTATTTTTAGAAAAATAATATTTTACGGTTTGAATTGGAACAATTGGAACGTTAGAAGAGAAACATAAAGGATATTCGCCATATTGAAAATATGGTAGGATGATCCTCAACTAACTCATCTACTGCATGTTTATGTACGATGTTTTTTCAATGTCATGTGACAAATCAATGAATTCTCCGGTTCCATTAATCCAGACGCGGAAATCCAGAGCGAGAATACAACTTTGTCGATTATGACCGACAATATATAAATTCTTTTATCTGAAGTAATGGATTCCAAAATCAATCAATCACTCTTGCTATAAATCCTTGCTTGCTCTGATACTGCTATCGAAGTCTAGAATTAATACCAAAACGATTTCCCTACACAAATTACTTCAAATATTTCGTTTTAATATCAATACCTTATTTGAACCAGTAGACTCATATCATGGGCAACAAAATTGTATTCTGTAATTAAGACCAAATATACCTTATAGCTCCCTTTCTTCCTCGACCTAAACCTGAAGGAGACGAAGCGACAACCGTTGGCGAAAGGTTATACATCGCTTTCGCATTCTCGCTCACTTACCATCATCCATCCGTTGCATCACGAGGATATTGCCTGCACCCATTTAACGTTGTAACATTCTTTCTCTGCCCATTTGTTCCTTTGCCATCATGATTTTGCTTTCTTGTCCCTTCACTCCCACGCTATAGTGTTCGGCCTCCTCGCCCTTTCGTTCCTACGCCATCATGGTTTCGCTTTTTGCCCCTTAGTTCCCATGCTATCCTGGTTTTTTTTCTTCCTCTCCCCTTCCTTCCTACGCTATCGTGCCTTTGTTCTCGTAGTTTTGCTATTAAGACCCTTCGCTCCCCATTCGCTTCCTCGTTATTGTGTGTTTCTTTTCCTCTCATTACGTTTTATGCTGATTCGTCC